GCAACAAATAAAAATAAATAAAATAAAGGTATCGTGTCCCAACTACAACTAAAAATATATTTTAAAAATAATAAGAGTGAGAGGACATGACTTGGGCTATTGTATTCTACAGATATAACTTTACTGGACAGTGAATAAAATATTGTGATAAAAATTGCTCTTACACTTCCTGGGGCAGGATGTAGAAAGGTGTATCTCAGCAGGTGATTTGATTTTCTCCAACACATTCTTAGCATAACAAGTTCCCCACAAACTTTCTGGGAATTAATGCAAGGGTAAGGCCTGAGAATTGAGCTCATGAAGTAAAAATGGCTGTCTTGATTAGAAGCTAAGTTTTATTACAAATATAATTACAGATAAACAGACCATTTTGGGTACATGATAAACATACATTTTATCTGTGTGTATACCACATAAATAATACATAAATTTATTCCTGTCTGAACAAATACTTTTTACAACTTTATTACTTTTTTTGGGGGGGGGATACTGTGGATTGAACTCAGGAGCACTTTACTACTGAGCTACATCCCAGCCCTTTTTATTTTTTTAATTTTGAAACAGGGTCTCACTAATTTCCCAGGCTGGTCTCAAAATTGCAATCCCCCTCCTTCAGCCTCAGTAGCCGGGATTACAGGTTTGTGCCACCACACCTGGCACTCTGTACAACTTTAAACATTAATAATACATTAGCTTATTTAAATTTGGATACAAATACTCATTTCTTGTCATGAGTTTCTTTTCATGATCAACACAGTATCCAATTTCATAACATCATTCTGTCTATAATAGTGACACAGAATGTCAGACTTTTAAAAATATGACTACTGTCTACAACTGTAATATATAGTGAGTGTATATATACAAACAGATGATATGGTTATACCTTGCCTATATCTGTAAGTAAGTTGAAACATGTAATACATTTGCTTTATCATTATTTTACTGTTGTAGTACTAGGGATTGAATCCAGGGATACTTTTCTACTGGGCTATAATCCTCAGCCCTTTGAGACCCTATGGTTTTGCTAAGTTGCCCAGGCTGGCCTTGAACTTGTGATCCTCCTGCCTCAGTCTCCCCAAGTCACTGAGATTAAAACATGCACCACTGTGCCAAGCATTTGCTTTTAACAGCCATTTACAACATGGACTCTTGAATGGCATATGAATTTGAAAATTAAAACTATATTTTCCAGACTCAACATGTTGTTTATTTAAAAACCTAACTTCCAAATGGACAACCAAGTGCATTAGAAAAAGAAAACAAAACAAAACAAAAAAAAGATTCTAGAGATTCTAAGACAGTGTCATAAAATTGCAGATCTTCCATAGTCATCCTAAATACTTTTATAAAAAATGCTACTTAGGGGCTGGGATTGTGGCTCATGGTAGAGCACTCGCCTAGCACAGGCGGGACCGGGGTTTGATCCTCAGCACCACATAAAAATAAAGGCATTGTGTTGTGTCCATCTACACCTAAAAAATATTTTTTTAAAAATGTTGCTCAGATTTTTTTTCCATACTGCCTATAATCTGTTATTAAACTTTAAAACCATATGAAAGCATTTATGAAGATCCTGAATTGTATTTCTCATTAAACAAAAAGTAAGGGCTTGGTGAGTCATGTTCCTAGACTTACTTCTGTAGAGGAGAAAGCAGAAGGCCATTGTCGGTCATTTTGAAAGTTAAAACTCAGCACTTAACATGAATTTACAGCCATTTATGAGTTGCTCAGTTTTACAGGCTTGTGTTCCTCTGAACGTCCTGAAGGCAGTGAGAACATAAGACTTCTCATCTTCTAAACAAAAATCATTATCAAATGAATTTATTAAAGAGCTATGCAGAACAAATATGTGTGTAACTACCGTTGGCTTCCATGGGAATTATAAATGGCTAGCCGAGGGCACTGTGAATTGATTCACAGTAAAACAATCTGAGGTTTGTAATAAATATACAAAAACTAAAATCAATGAGTAACTCGGATAGGAAGAATCTCTGTTTGCATTCCTTATCTTACAGTTTGTTTGTAAAACTTATGTACTTTATTTCTTCACACTCTATTTAAAAACTCTGGCATTTTCATCTAAAAGAAAAAAAAATACTGGCAACTAGCTGTGGACAAATTAATGAAGAAAAGTGGTGACGGGCAGGCACCAGTTCTGCAGCAGTTTTCCATCAGAGCTAACGTTTTATCTTGCAGCTAGTGCATCTATTTTTGAAGCTTATGTAATTTCTTATACACTTATGATTTATTTGCATATTGACTTAAAAGCTGGCTTCATCATCCAAGCCAACTATTAATCAGACCAAAAAAAAAGTGTATCAGGTACCTGCAGCATGCAGGATGCACAAATCTATGAAATGGTGTAGTGGTACTAATCTTTCTGTGACTGAAATTACGTGTTTAAAAAAGAAGCTACAATCTATTGAGAAAAAAAGTGCTATGAGTTTTTTTCTGAGAAGAAAAATTGTAACTACACTAGCAAACTTTTGAGAGAAGCCACAAAATCATCTCTGAAGTTTCTGAGGCAACACATTCTTTTAATTATTTATTTATTTTTGGTAACAGGGATTGAACCCAGAGATGCTTAACCATTGTGCCATATCCCCATCCCTTTTTATATTTAATTTAGAGACAGTCTTGCTATGTTGCTTAGGGCCCTCACTAAGTGACTGAGGCTGGCTTTGAACTTAGTGATCCTTCTACCTTAGACTCCCCAGCCACTGGGATTACAGGTATGCATCATCACCATGTCCACTTAGGCAACACATTTTGAAGTTTAGAATTTATGGGTGCAACAATAGACCAAAATTCCACAATTCTAACACACATATCGATGTAGGACTCAATTAAGATATTCCTCAGATTTTTATGTTTAATTAAGTTAAAATTTTTAAGTACAAAAAGAAAAAACAATCTGGTATAATTCAAATAATCCTAAACAGTAATCCTATGAACAATTATTAACAACTGCAATTTCAAATGCCAAGGCTTGAATATACAACTTCACAAAGTAGTTGTCTCAAACATGATCAAAAACCTTGGGCAAGAGCTTCTTTCATGAATTCTTCAAGGACAGCTACCACATTTTTGGCTTCAGGCATTTCTTCGTGTTCCACTTTAACAATCTTCAAAAGGATATCTCCACTACCACAGTTCTTTAGGAACATGTAACATTTAAACAAAGCATAATGATTCATTTCTGCCTGTCGGATAAATCTCTTCAAATTGTTTGTGTCTTGTATGGCCTAGAAAAAGATTACCTAGTTAAGTATGTGTGTATTGGGATAATAATGAAGCTTGAAAAATATCTCCTATCCAGCTGAGAACTCAATATATGTTCTAAATTGTTTGCTTTTCATCTTAAACATTTCTATCACCTTTATTGTTAATATGCTTTACCCTTGGCAGAGCAAAATCTCATATGTAAGTAAAAATACTTAAAAATCTCCTAAATAAGGTGACAACACTCCCATCAGAATTTTGAACCACTTTTTTTTGTGTGTGTGCTTTGCAACTAAAATACATCAGTAAGCTTCCTTAAATAAAAGCAAGCTTTCAACCCAATTTATTGGAAGTGATGAAATTATATGTATGCAGAAGCTACTGAAAAATTAAAAGCCTTCTGATGATTCGTTTTAAGAACATCTTGTTTAATAGACATCACAACTGCAAAACAGATTTATTATTCTATCACGGGTACTAATTAAAATG